TGTCTATGGACACTTGGCTGCTTCTTTGGAGTTGGAGAGAGGCTGTCCTTCAAGCCTAAACAGATATTGAGGCAGACCCTTTGCCATTTGCAGGAGTACCCAGGAGACATGCAAATTCTCCTTATGCAAGAATCAGAGGACTTAGAGCCAACAGTCTGACGATCCTCTGGTTCTAGGATGGCCAGAGCGCTGCCCACCTTTGCTCAGCCCTCTCCCAGCCCTCTCCCAGCCCTCTCCCAGCTCTACCTCAGCTCCCTGGGGACTTTATAGTCAGCTGAACAATGACCAGCAGGACAGAATGTGCTCACTGAGAAGCCATGTGCTCCGAGTTCAAGAGAAATGGTTGCCTTCTGGGTCTTAATGTCAATAGTCTTTGCTCTGTAGACTGTTTTGGTTTTTGTTTTGGGTTTTTTTTGGGGGGGGTTGCTTATATGTCTCTCTCTCTCTCTCTCTCTCTCTCTCTCTCTCTCTCTCTCTGTGTGTGTGTGTGTGTGTGTGTGTGTGTGTGTGTGTGTGTGTGAACTTGGGCTTGTGCCTGCAGAAGCAGAGATCAACATCTTCAGCTGTCTTTCAGGAGCTGTGCACCTCAGAGACAGGATCTGGCACTGGGCCCTAGAGCCTGCCAGCCAGGTTAGGCTGGCCGACCACTGAGTTTGCAACTGTCTCCTCCCAGAAGCATTGCGAATATAAATTGCCACACCTGATTTTTTTTTTTTTAATGAGGATGCTGGGAATTGAACTCAGGTCCTCCTCCTAAACTATAACCCTAGCTCCCTATTTTTGTTTGTTTGTTTGTTTGTTTTGAGGCAAGGTCTGTTGTAGCCTTGAATTTGTGATGATGGCCCGACTGCTTCCCAGATGCAAACCCTGGACTGTAGGCATGTGCTATCACGCCTATGCCCGTGAAATTGAGCTTAAATGAGAGGGGTCCCATGAAGGCACAAGCGTCTACAGATCTGCTGGATAAATTGTCTACACTATAGAAAAAAAGTGTTTGTTATGGTAATAGTTCATTCTGTATTCTGAAAAATAGATATTGCAGCTGGGGGGAGAGGGGGTGGCGGCGCACGCCTTTAATCCCAGCACTCAGGAGGCAGAGGCAGGTGGATCTCTATTAGTTTGAGGCCAGCCTGATCTGCATAGTGAGTTCCAAGACAGCCAGCACTGTTTCACAGAGAAACCTTGTCTCAAAAAACTAAACCAAAAAGCAAAGAAGAAGAAAAGACAGAAAAAATAAATATTGCTTGAGCATGTGTTTACATACAATACAAGTTAGCACTCTAAGAAGTAACCTGAGAGGCAGAAGCTAGTGTATCCCTGGTCATTGTTGTCTTTATTGTGTTCAGAAAATCTCCTGCACTGACCACTGCCTTCTGGAAGATCTGGCCTTGCCTGCGTTACCAACCCTACCTGCCTCCTTCTCGGCGTCCTGTGTCCACCTTGGCCTAATGATAATTGCTCAGAGAGTTGAGGTTTCCTCCCTTCCTTTCCCTATATTTCCCTCTCTTCTCTTCCCCGTCCCTTCCCCTTCCTTTCTTTTCCTCTTCTCTCTCTCTCTCTCTCTCTCTCTCTCTCTCTCTCTCTCTTTCTCTCTCTTTTTGTTATTTGGAGACAGGGTTTCCTCTGTGTAGCTTTGGAGCCTGTCCTGGAACTCACTCTGTAGACCAGGCTGGTCTCGAACTCACAGAGATCCGCCTGCCTCTGCCTCCCGAGTGCTAGGATTAAAGGCATGCGCCACCACTGCCCGGCTAGATATTTGTTGGGTGGATAAATAAGGTATTTGAACTGAGAAAATGTACACTGATGTTGGTTCTGTGGATTAAATATTGCTTACATAGATTGAAAATTTATTAATCTCAATACCTATATATATTTAAACATTTGTGCATGGAAGCCAGATGTGGTAGTACATGATTATACCCTAGCACCTGGGAGGTGAAGACAGGAGAATCAAGAAGTTCAAGGTAATCCTTAGCTATATAGCAAGTGGGACCTGCCTGTGCTACAGGAGACACCTGTCTGAAAAAAACTAAAAAGAACAGGGCATTCTGGCACACACCTTTAATCCCAGCATGCAGGAGGCAGAGGCAGGAGGGTCTCTATGAGTTGAGGCCACCCTGGTCTACATGGTGAGTTTCAGGCCAGTTAGGGATACACAGGGAGACCTTGTTTCCAAAATAAGTTCATATACAGAGTGAATGGATACATATTCAGACTAGAGAAGTGGAGCTTTTGTTCTTTAGCCTTCCCCTCTTTGAGACAGGGTTTCTCTGTATAGCCTTGGCTGTCCTAGAATTCTCTCTGTAGACCAGGCTGGCCTCTAAGTTGCAGAAATCTCTTCTGATTCTGCCTCCCAAGTGCTGTGATTTAAGACATGCACCACCATTGCCTGACTTCTTTCCTTGGCTTTTTGGGTTTTGTCATTGCTGGTTTTAGAGACAGGGTTCTTGTACTGCATCTTAGTCTAGCCTCAAACCCTAGTGGTCAGTTACTATGTAGCCTAGGCCTTGAATTTATGATAATTCTCCCAAATTATGGGGTTACAGGTATGAACCATCAAGCCCAACTAGTTTTTTTTATTATTAGTTATTAGCGTGCGTGTGTGTGTGTGTGTGTGTGTGTGTGTGTGTGTGTGTGTGTGTGTGTGCAGGGTGGGGGGGAGGGGGCAGGGGAGTGTTTAACTCTGTGGTCCTGGCTGACCTCAGATGCAAGGCGATTGTTCTGCCTCAGCAGAGTGCTGGTGTTATAGACATACACCATCGTGTTCAGCTTGATACATTATTTTCAATAGCTAAGGGGCCCCCGTTCTTCAAGGGTTGGTGTCCTCTCACATAAAATGCATGCCCTTCAGACTGTCCCTAGAGCTTGCTTCTACTGTGACATGGTATAGAAAGTGACTTTTCACCCTTTCACTTATATTAAAGAGCTTCTTAGAGATAGGAGGATCAAACAAAAACCTATGTCCTTTTTGGATTTAAACAAAACAAAACAAAACAAACGAACAACCAAAACATAGCCTGGTATAGTGGTACACACCTTCAATCCCAGCACTCAGGAGGCAGAGAGAGATATCTGTCTGAATTTAAGGCCAGCAGGGGATAATAGTGAGACCCTCAAACAAACATAAGTTTAAATCTCCTCCCTTCAAACCTTCCAGTCACAGGCAGGTCTGGTGGAACAAGGTCTACAAAGCAGCTAATTGGTAGGTTGAGGCAAAAGGATCACAAACTAAGAAATGGCGGCACACGTCTTTAATCCCAGCACTCAGGAGGCAAAGGCAGACTGATTTCTTGAGTTCGAGGCCAACCTGGTCTACGGAGCAAGTTCTAGGAGAGCAGGCTAAAGAGAAGTGCAGTTGGAGTGGGGGCTGGAGGGGGAGAGATCACAGACTTAAGGCTCGCTGGTCAATTTAGGGAAATTCTGTTTCAAAGAGTTAAAAACAGCTAAGGGTGCAGCTCAGCTGTGAAGCACCTGTCTAGTTCTCGGCTCAGTTCCCAGTACTGCAAACACAGACAGACAGACAGGACACAAGTTTGTAGTTGTAGCCTTAGCGCTTGGAAGGCTGAAGCAGGGTGACCAGTTTCTTGTCAGGAGAGAGAGGGAGGGAGGGAGGGAGGGAGGAAGGGAGGGAGGGAGGAAGGGAAGGGTAGGGTAGGGATCATTGGTGTTCAACCTTTGCTTTCTGTGATTTAATGCCGTCAAGTAGACAGTTTCTTTATTTCACTTGTTTTTTAATGTCCTACTCCATATTGGGCAAATGACCATCTTCTAGCAGTCGAGGGCCTGACTGGGACACCTTCAGCAATGATAACCCAGTAGCAGTTCGGAGAGGGAGCTAGGTTTGCAAGGAACACCTCACCCAACTCAAGGACACCAGAACCTTTACCTCCTAAGCTGGTGGGGGCCAAGCTGGAAGACGTGGAAAGATCACGTATACACTTACAGCGAACCGAGAAACATTCCACTGTGTTCCAGGAATCAGAAGTAGCCTCCTGTCTTAGCCCATGACCCTGGGGTGAAGCAGGGGCTGTCCAAGCAGAAGAGGCAGAGGAAAGAGGAAGCTAGTGCCTTGGCTCCTCGGACGCCTGAACTTTGGACTCTGGGGGATGGAGATCCTCATAGTATTTTGTAGGAATCGTTAATAGTTAATCTCTTAGAACATGTGAATTGAAAATTTTTATGTAAATTACTTTCCATTTTTACACTACTAGCAGTTGGAAGAGACATATCATAAACTTCAAAGGATTTACAATCTGCCACTGTTTTAATTGTGTTTATTCCAAACACTCTCCACACCACAATGGATGCTGAAAATGAATACATTAGGTAGAGTGAAGCCGTCCATCTTTGGTCCTGATGTTTATTAAACAGAAAGACTCAAAAACCATGCAATTATTCTTGGAAAATGTGCATGAATGTGTGGTATTTGGAACTTTATTTTAGAATCCAAATGTCATAGACATCTGGACACAAAAATTATGCAAGAGAGACCTTTAGAAATGTGTTGCTAATTATTGACTCATCGCTGCAACCACACAGCTGAGCCTTTGTGGAGTCGCTGTGTGTGCTACCATCGCACACCGCGGCTCTCTCCAAGTCACAGCGTATTCTCACAAGATCCCCCATATCACTTCCACCGCCGAGCTCTTCATAGAGTTACCGAGAAAACTTGTAAGCTTCACAACTCAATGGGCTATATTGGCACTGGGGAGCACGCAGGAGCAGCGCAGGAAAGCTTGGACAGGAGAAGGGAGCTAGCACCAAGCCCGCTGAAGGCTTGGGGGAAGGACACAGAGCAGCCGGGTGGGATGCAGTGATGCGAAGGCACGGAGGCAGAACTGGAAACTCCTAGCTCCCCTCTCCAGACACACCGTTTAAACTCCCTGGGCTCTACCTTTCCATTAATCTATACTATGAAAACATCATACTTTGTTTAACCTTAAAGCATAGATTCCACAATGTGAGTCCATCTGAAAATGACTGTTGTATATGTTTCACAGAGAGTTCCAAGTGACGATGTCCATGAACAAGGCAAGACCCCTGTTCTCCTAGAGTTGAGATTCTAAAAGGAAGAAAAGACAAACAGCAATAGCTATCCATAGTTCTGGTTGGCTTTATGTCAGTGTGGCACAAGCTATACTCATCTGAGAAGGAGACTCAATTGAGAAAATACCTGCAAAGATCAGGCTGTATGCAAGCCTAGAGTGCATTTGATCGATGGCGAACGGCCCAGCCCATTGTCAGTGGGACCACCCTGGAGCTGATGGTCCTGGGTTCTATAAGAAATTAGGCTGAGCAAGTCATGGAGCAAGCCAATAAGAAGCACTCCTCCATGGTTCTGTGTCGGCTCCTGCCTCCAAGTTTCTGTCCTGTTTGAGTTCCTTGCCTGACTGCTGTCAGTGATGAAGAGTGTAAGCCAAATAAACCCTTTCTTCTCTAATTTGCTTTTGGTCATGGTGTTTCATCACAACAATAGTAACCCTAACTTAGACACATAGTTACAGTGCTAGTTGTAACACATTTTACAAAGGAACCAAGGCAAGATTACATCCTAGAGAACACAGGGCTGGTCCGGGGATCCTGGGACTTGAACATGTCTCCTGCTTTGGGAAATCTTGAATTCAGTCATGTTTGACAGACAATACAAGTGCCCAGTCTGGAGGGACACAGAGAACCAGGAGGGCTAGGATGGAGAAACAAGCAGACCAATGAAGGGAAAAGCTGTCAGTAGGCCATGTAGATGTGCATGACAGTGGAGTGGAACTCGACTTTACACGTCCAGTGGGCAGGCCTTGCTGGGAAGGGATGCAATCTCATTTTCACTTTTCTTTTCTTTTCTTTTTTTTTGTTTCTTTGAGGTTTTTTGTTTTGTTTTGTTTTTTTGAGACAGGATTTCTCTATGTAGCTTGGGAGCCTGTCCTGGCACTCACTCTGTAAACCAGGCTGGCCTCAAACTCCCAAAGATCCTCCTGTCCCTGCCTCCCAAGTGCTGGAATTAAAGGCATGCACCACCACTGCCCGGCAGCTCCGGCTTTGCAGTGAGTTTAAATAACCCTGAACTGTATGAGACAATTGATTCAGAAAGTAAAATATGTGCACATATGTACAAGCATATGGGGGCCTAAAGTAGAAGGATACTGGTGTCTTCCTGTATATAGTACTCCCCTTAACTCACTGATAACCCCAAATTCAACACAAGCATTGTCAGAGCAAAGGGCTTTCATTTAGGATTATTTTTTGCCTAGTGACTTCTTTCATTTTTTTCATTCAATTCAGCTCAAGGTTATGAGAGCTGTGAGTCAATCTGAGCCAGGATCTCCATTCACAACCACAGTGAAACATTTAACTAAGGACCTAGACCTGTCCTATGGTCTGACCCTTCCTCACCACTGTGTCCTCACCAAAGATGTCGTGATCTCTTATCACACGGGTGTGTGTGTGTGTGTGTATATATATACATATATATGTGTGTGTGTATATATTTTCTTGCTTGTTCATTAAATATTTAAGCAATATAGAAAAATACTGGTGAATAACAATAAAAAAAATCAAGATATATGTCCAGTTAGGAGAAAGCTAAGCAATAAAAGACATTGTCATCTTAGGTTTCTGAAGTAACGATATTAGCATACCATCTTAGTGCATTTACTATAAATACAGTCACCACACTTTAAAATGTCATTTATGTGCTGTTTATTTGAAACCCAAGAAGTCTTTCTCTAGAATAAATATAATCATCCAGGCCAGCCACAAATATCTTTTTAACCTTTACATAGTCAAATTACAGGGAGTAACACCATACGTTAAAAATTGAGTCGAGCTTGGGGAATCCTGCTGAAGAGACGGAGAAAGGATTGTATGAGCCAAGGGGGTCAAGGGCATCACAAGAAAACCCATGGAAACAACTAACCTGGCCTCATAGGTGCTCAAAGAGTCTGAACCTACAGCTTGGGAACCTACATGGGACCCACCTAACTGTGACAGTTGTGTTGCTTAGTCTATTTGAGAGACTCCTGACAGTGGGAGCAGGGCCTGCCCCTAATGTTTTGATTGGCTCTTGGGAACCCATTTCTCACACTGAGTTGCCTTGCCCAGCCTTAATAGAAGGGGAAGAGCTTAGTCCTACCTCAACTCGATACACCATGCTTTGTAGACACCCACGGGAGACCTACCACTTTCTGAGCAGAAACAGAAGAGGAATGAAATGACAGGGAAGGGTGGAAGGGAAGGGATAGGAGGAGAGGAGGGAGGGGAAACTGAAGTCAGAATGCAAAATAAATGAATAAAATTAATAATAATAAAAAAGAAAGAGCCAGGCGGTGATGGCACATGCCTTTAATCCCAGCACTCAAGAGGCAGAGGCAGGTGGATCTCCGTGAATTTGAGGCCAACCTGGTCTACAGAATGAGTTCAGGACAGGCTCCAAAGTTACAAAGAAACCCTGTCTTGACAAAAGTCAAGAAAAAAAAAAGGAAGAAAAAGTTTCCACGAAGGCTCAAGTTTCCTTTCTGTAAGAAGGCAAATATCTTCACATGTTCCCAGAGTACAAGTATAACCCAGGAGAAAGGTTCTGCCTATGATAACTGTTTAACCCGCCCGAACCCCATCTAATAATTTTTAATGCCACATTCGCTTCTATAACCCCTTCCTTGAAAGTTCTCTTATCAGACTATTGAACATCATTTAGTTGACTGGGCTCAGTTTTTGTTTGTTTTGTTTTTTTGAGACAGAGTCTGACTCTGTAGATCAGGCTAGTCTTGAACTCATAGAGATCCCCCTGCCTCTGCTTCCCAACTGCTTGGATGAAAGGTGTGTGCCACCATTGCCATCTTTGAATCTCTTCTACAGTCCGGAGACTGTGCTTTGTCTGCAGATCACTGTCTTTCTTTCCTTGCCAAAGTTATTGTTTTCTTCAATGTTATTTAAAGTTAATAAAGAAATCTAATTAAACAAGACATTAATCTTTAAATGGTTGGTAGATAAGTAAACTTCAAAACATGTGTGTCCTAGAAAATAAGAGGTTCGGGAAGTAGCTTCACTGGCAAAGGACTTGCTGTGTAATTATGTGGACCTGAGGGAGTTCAGGAACCCATCTGAGAAAAGGGAAAGTAGGGGCAGTTGCTTTAGGGGAAGGAGAGCAATGGCACATTGGTAAAATACCACAGAGGGGGACTATGGGATCGGGTTGGGGATTCAGGAGATGGGGGGACAGTAGCCCATGTTAGTCCGAATGAAGGGATATGAAAACACAACTTGGAAACCTACTGTCTGTTAATGCGACTGGAAAATCTAAAGGGAATTTGGAGGCAGATAGCTCAGGCAGCTAAACAATGCTGGTCTAAAGGCAATGGGTTACTAAATACAAACCTCAGAGCCAGGTGTGGCGTACCTCCCTTGGAGCTGTCCTCCGCCCCAGAGCCCCAAACAGTACCAACTCTTGCTATTGCTCTTGGTTGCTCACAAGAATTGGTTGATAAGATACAGTATCTCTGAAGCCGGAATATCCTATGGATGCAAGATATGGAGGAGGCAGCTGGAACTGAGCTGGAAGCTTTCTCCCTGCTCTCAAGTAGCCTGGATTGGTCTTGAACTCACTATGTAGCTGAGGCTAGCCTTGAACTGATCCTCCTGTTTCAGGGTCCTCAGAGTTAGAGGATTGACCAGACCCTCACATTCTATAACTCCATGGATAAATTTCTTTATTCTTCATTACAGTTCTGTGAGTGGATCCTATTTTCTGTTCCCAAGAGAAATTACAATTGTCCTACACTTTTGAAGTAGACTTTTGATTAAATCTAGTGGTTTAAATGAGAATACCCTGTGGAGGCTCATATGTTTGAATGCAGTTTGAACCAGTCGGTGAAATAGTTTGGGAAAGGTTAGGAGGTGTGGCCTTGTTGGAAGAGAGGTGTCACCAGTGAACGGGCATTGAGATTTCAGCCGTGCAGACCATCCAATGAGCTCTCCCTGTGTCTTTCTTTTTTCTTCAGTTTTTTGAGACAAGGTTTCTCTGTAGTTTTGGTGTTTGTCCTGGAACTAGCTCATGTAGACCAGCCTGGCCTCGGCTCACAGAGATCGCTGCCTCCTGAATGGTGGGATTAAAAGTGTGCAACACCACTGCCAGAATAGAATAAAGTCTTTTTAAAATTAATGTCATTTTTACAATACAAGGCACCATCTCAAAAAATAAATGAAAACCATCTTTACATTGTATTTTTAAATGATAATGAGTTCCAGGACAGCCAGGGAAACAGAGAAACCTGTCTCAAAAAACTAACAACAACAACAAAACAATGAACCAACCAACTAAACAAACGATAGCAAAACACTAATCATCTCTTTAAAAAAAAAAAAGAGGGATAATTGGATTATGGGATAATAGCTTTGTACTTGTGAGTTATTGTTTTTAGACAAATATATTGGTATTGATTCTTATATATTGATACAAAGTTAAATTATGTTGACTATTTTATGCATACATGCTTCTACCTCTGTTTAAAACATTTTTATGTATTGACATATATATACATATATATTGTATTGATATATGTATATTTTACCATATTGCATTGTACACTTCTACCTCTGATTAAGATACTTATATATTATTTATGTATTAATATATATTTACCATATTACAACGTATACTTGCACATTGTTTATATTTGGAGGTCATATTGTCCCCATTTATTGCACAGTTGTTTACTATTTCAGTCTTTAAGTTAGATAGATATTGAAAATAATATAGATCAATAGTCATCTAAGTTTGTCATTTATAATTAGACTAATCAGGTTCTTTAGATACATAGACATTACATTCAATATAGATAGATAATCTTCAACCTCTTCAAAGAGCTGTAGAAAATGGCCTTTAATCTAACTCAGAGTTCTGCGGTAGGGAGACACAATCGCTCCTGGCAACACTGATCTATTCCCGAGAAAATGTTGAGCACCAAAGACACTCCACCTGGAGCCTTTCTTCTTGGCAGAACTGGCCTTTGGGTAAAGAAATACCCATACCTCAACTACTGACAGAGTTACAGAGTATCCGTAAATAGATAAAACAGGACTGTCATATCCTGCCAAGACAGGATAAGATAGTTTTAAAAAGTTCCTTGCCTTTAAAAATGGTATGTCAGTTACGTTAGGCCTTAGCCAAAGTTGGTTGCTTCAACGCTGCAAACGTGATTTTGGGTGTTTGCCCAGGTAGCCAGTTGTCTCTGTGATTTGTTACATGTTCTGGAAGTTTGATTGCACTTCCTAATTACTTAGGTAACATTATTTCCCTTCTCAGATCTTTGATGGGATTAAAGATTATATAAACATAGTTACTTTCCTTTCATGACGTGGCCAAGTTATTTCTTATACAAGACTTAAGCTAGTTAAAATAAAATATTTATATTTATTGTATATAATTGTGTAGGTTTGTACTTACTGTAT